TCAGTGATATTTGTGAAAACCACAATTTAACAGGTTTCCAATCATAATTAGCTGTGTGAAGTCTTATTTGTCAGAATTTTTAACCTGTATGTCAAATTGAATGCACACAATACTATTATTTATAGTATCTGTCCTCCTATAAATAAATAAATACAACATTTAAGATTCAAATACATCCTATTAGAGTTGTCTAATTTTACTACCACTACAACAACTAATAATAATTTTAATTAAGATAACAACAACAATCAAATTATGTCACACATGCTATTCTCCTACTTCATATATCTTTATCCTCATCCTTATGTGACATTATATCTTTATTTATATGTTTTCTACCAAATGTGACTTGTGTTACAGTACTTTTATTACAGATGTTGGTATTGTATGTGTAAGAGCCCCAGCCAAGAGAGCATCTTTGTTTTCTAGTTGATATCAACACTTAGGATGATTACAGTGGCATTGGAGGGGTGTTTCCAGTGTGTTCAGTGGATGATTTGATGCAGAAATGGCAGCATTAATACACCAACAGGAGGATTAACACGCCACAGGAAATAACTGCCCAATTTCACTAATGAGAGAGGCTTGGCAAAGCAGCAGCCATTACATAAACACTTTTTATATTATAGTCTTATACTGCAGCCACACTACTGTTTTTTAAGTGTATATATATATATATATATATATATATATATATATATATATATATAGAGAGAGAGAGAGAGAGAGAGAGAGAGAGAGAGAGAGATTTCATAATAGTGCAGAAATGTGACCACATGGATAATCTCTGCTAACTCATTCTAGTAACTTGGCAGGAGTCTGCAGGAGTTCAGAGTGTCAGCTGATATGAGAGAGCTTTAATAAATTAGACCAGAAGAAAGACGCAAATGTAATCTAATCAAGATTATACTCTGGCAGCCATCCTTTAACAATGATTTCAAGAAAGCTCCACAGGAGATATGTCAAATTATCAGCGCTGATGAAGGAGAAATTATTATGAACAGACGCTTTCAGTGTTATGGCAGATCTTTGTTTTTGTCCCGTGACACGTCTCCTTCGACTGTGCCATCTAATCTGACCTGTGGACTGTAATGTGTAATGTTTAATGCAGGGTTTACTTTGACCTTTGCTCTGCTTTTCTGAGCTCTCACCTTTGACCTGGAGTGTCTTTTTCAGAGTCAGAAGTAACAGTAACATAAACATCAACCATTGTATTTATTGGACCTAAACAAAGTTGATCATTAACCTGGGAGTTGATCTCTCTGTGACAGCTTTTGCTGATGAAGTCTGTTATGCTCTGTTTATGTTTTTCTTTCCCAAATTGTAACTCAGGAGTGGATCTTGTGCACTTAAACAGATCATCAGTTGGTGTAAGATAAAGTGCTCTTTAACCATAATCCGCATTTTAAAACATCCTTATGCATTTTTGTTGAAATCTTATCCAGCTACCGTTAATAGCATTTATATTGTATGCTTACTACAAAATCTACAACTGTATGAGGTTTAGAATGATAAATGTAATGTTATTTTCTAGTGTTCTTCAGAGCTACATAATTTATCTATGTCCTCAGTATTGTTTGTAGGAATTTGGGGGATTTAACAACCTGGGGAAGTTGAATCTAAGGCTCATTTTAACCTCTTTAAATTAGACTATTTTATACAAACAAACAATATTATTATCTGTATTATATTATTATGATTTCAATATTTCTACACCTGAATTATATTCCAAGCAGTGTGCAGAAGGCTTGGAAACAACTGTTACATAATCATGTTAGAGGGATTAAATATAGAGAAAATACTGTTGGACAGTTGAACAAAATATGAAACAAAAAATGGGAAATAGTCACACATGTTTCTATTTGGTGGTTTAGGTTTTTGGCTCCAAAGCTTGTATCAACCCTACAAAGTGCACTGTATGTTGCATTGGAGTTTGAGTTAACTTTGACTACCACTTTATTGATGACATCCAAAGCTTTTACTGTAACAACAGTTGGATAAGAAGAGAGGAAAATAATTGAGACAACTGGCGCTGAGATGATCAAAAGTATGACAATATTTTGACCTGATACCAAAGATTTCTTGGTGAGTTGGGGTTGCACCGAGGGAACTCACAACCTCAGTATTTCTACATTTCTGGCTATGGCCCAGGTGATCTGGTGCTCTTAAGGCCAAAATCTTACTCTGATTAACTAAATCTCTCTGAACCTGTCACATGTGCACTCATGTGTGGTGGGCTGCTGTTTGTGTTTTTCATGACAGATGTTTTTTTTCTTTTTCTTTTTTACACCATCTGTCTGTGACTAGCATTATATTTTATTGTTACTATTTAAGCACAACCAGGAACACCTTCACATCACCTTGTGGGTGGATGGTGATCTAAATCCCGACTCTACTGAGTGAAAGGGGTTGTAGTTAGATTTAGTTATTTGTACAATGTGTTTCAAGAAAGCTCAGTGAGCTTATATGTGTCTGTGACAAGTTGTCCTCCTTTCTTCCTGTGTGCTTGTTGCTATTATTGCTGCTTCTATCTACAGCTCTGACCAAATTAGATCACTAGTCCAAACACACTGTCTTGTAATCTGCTGTCAGTCAGATAGACAACTGTTTCTAAGAAGTTGATGCTAATCTGTTGGATTCCACAGTCTGAGAAAAACCCTGAACCCTGATTTATGAGGAAGTAGGCCTTCATGATAATGTCTAACATTTAAAACCTGCTAATTAGAAGAGCTTGTTCATGTTGCTGGAAAGAAATCCAACATTAGAGTCAGCTGCATAACACCCATCAGTCAGTTTCTGATTAGGATTTTTCCAGTTTACCCTTACTTTCAGCTTCTTTTTCAGACTTTTAAAAAGAAGAAATAATAACCACAAAAATACAAAATACAAAGATTTCAGCAAAATGTATGGGTCTCCTTTTTTGTAATGTACTCTAAAAACACTAAGAGACTACAGCCATTAGTATTATCATCAAAATATAATTAAAGTAACAAAAGTAAAAATACCTACTTTGCAGTATTTCAGGATAATTTATATAATTAAATTACACTTATTGATGCATTTATGTGTTCATCACTTTGATGTTGCAGCAGGTGAAAGTGGAACTCATTTTATTTACTTTATATACCACTAAGTAGCTTAATCTATAATAATATATCATATTAATTTGTTTATAATATTTTGTATTAATAATCGGAATCTGTAAAATAACCTTTAACTGAATTTATCTTATAAATAAAGTGGAGTAAAAAGTAAAATATTTGTCTCTGGAGTGTGGTACTTGAGTAAATGTACTGTTGCTTTCCACCACTAGACTGTACTTACAGGAACAGAGGTGCTTTGAGCTAAATGCTAATGCTAACAGCTAACATGCTATCTGCTTACCATGTTTACCATTTTAGTTTAACCTGTTAGCATGCTAAAATTTGCTAATTAGCAGTACACAGTGTGCTAATTGGAATTACATTACTTTTGCAGGTATTTGCTCAAGAACCAAAGTAAAAAAAATAGCATTTTGATCTGATGATGGCACTAGATGACAACAAAAATGGGGGCAGTTCATCCTGAGGGGAACATGAATGTGCATAACAAATATTATAGCAATCCATCCAATAGTTCTTGAGACTTCCCAATCAAAACCACAAGAAGAGTCAGAAGAAAAGTCAGGAGATCACCAAAGTCAAAAGGATTAATCCTCTGAGGACCTTGAATGTCTGTACACAATTTCCCGGCAATGCATCCAGTAGTTTTTGAAATATTTCCATCTGGGCCAAAGTGGTAGACTAAATGACTGACAATAGCTTCCCTAGAGCTGTTATATTAAAAGAAGAATTTATAGTTTCACTGTTGCTTTGATTTGACACACTACAATTCAAGAGTTAACTGCAATGTGTTGTTATTCTAATGAAGTCAACCGGACTACTTCTGGTTCTTGACCTGCGTGACTGCTGCTCATTAGGGCCGACTCCATTAAGACGGGCTGCCATAGACAGTGAGAGGATTTCACCTGCTGACGACTACCTGGCAGTCAGTCGCTTCTGAGGTTAGTGTGACAGAGACTTTGTCTCACTGAGGCTTATTTCTGGTGTTCATGCATTTAGCAGCTCAGAGATCAGAACGCTGCAGTCATTTCTTGTCTGTGCTTTCGCTGACACAAAGTAACACTTAGCACTAGACATGTGGCTGCTTTGACTAGTCTGTCAGCAGGGAATGAATTCCTTAAATATCTCTCTTTCAACCTACCTACTACCTATGTTATCTATGTTCTCAGGGTTTATGTAACCCTAGAACTGAAGAACATAGGACCCTGGCATGTTCCCATTACGTGCCATATAAATAATGGAGAACATAGGACCCTGGTTACATAGGAATGACTCTCCCTACATTCCTAAGATTGATCCAAATTTAAATATTTTTTAAAGGTTTGATAATAAGGCAAAATGCACATGCAAGTTCTTGTTAACTTTTACAAAATAGCAATAGAAAACATCCTGGCTATCACTAATTGGCATGGTTTGTGCACGGCCCAGGGCAGAAGTACTCTGTGGTGCATGATTAAAACAGCCCAGAACATCACTGGCACACTCACCCTGCTGCAGTCTGGCAAGCACTATAGAAGTATCCACTGCTGTCCCACCGGACTGCAGAGCAGCTTCTTTCCTCAGGTTGTGAGACTCCTCAAGTCCTCCAAACTCCACTATAAATAATAGTTCTTTGTTTTGTGTGCAGCATAAAGGGACTACAGCTTTAATTGTAAAACCATGTTGTAGAATGATACATAAATTCAGTTGGTCTGGTCCCTTCAATCAACAATGTGTATCCATATTGGCATCTTTATTCATGTGCATATAAATACAGAAAAGGCCAGACTCTGTGATTTGTCCTATTAGAATAAATCTAATGTAACAAGTTTAAAGATGGCTAAATGAGTTCCATCAGGGGGATCTGAACTAGAATACACTATAATTCAATTTTAATGTAAGGCAATAAAAAAATTTAAATCCACCACACTGTCTTTATTTATCAGTTTATGTATTTAAAGTAATAGGCTACTCAGAAATTTGAATAAATTCACTTTACTTCAGGTGTTGACTATAGTGTAATTGCATAATACAGTCTTAACACAGTGAATGCTTCCTTACTATACATAGAAGTTACATCACCTCAAACTGTCAACAACTGTGACTGATCTGCTTAGTAAAGGGTTGAGAAAGCCTTGTTCATGAGAGGCCGTCTCTGGATGCTGGTCAACTGTCGAAATTAGGCGCTTACTTACAGCAGCTCAGTTATTCAGCACCTTAAAGCAGATGGAGCATACAGTAGAAGAGCAGCAACACAGTGTGTTTATTGTAAGTGGTCTAACACGGACGGAGGAGCAGTGCAGGTTAAATACAAATTGCTGCAGAAAGAATGCAATAATTTGAAATTTGATAAATTACCCACAACACGTTTAGTAAATTTACACAAATCCAGCGTGAGGCTGTCTGGAGTTTCAGCTACTATCCACGTGTGAAAATATTACAACAATCTAAATGGCTCAACAGTGTTTACAATACCATACCAGTGAGGAACCTATGATAAGAACTAATGGTAGTTTTGCCACAAAATATTGAGTTTCCTTTTAATGTGACTTCTTAATAACCGGCTCAACAATCTTCTGTCCGGTGAGGAAGTGCCACACGCCGCCTCGGTAGAACTCATTTCCAAATGAGTAGAGGAGAGCGTTGAAGATGGGATTTGTCTTTGCCACAACTGGAAGGATCTGCGAGCAGACATAAGTATTATTTCCATAGTTTCTATCGGTTATGAAAACATTGCAATTTCTGATATAGGAACAGATTATTCAAACCACTTTATTTGTAGTTTTTCTTCCATACATATTTCACTCACCTGGAGCTTTATCTAAGACCAGTATGATCATTGGACTTCTTTTTAGCAACATTAATGCATTCCCAGATCTCGGCAATTAACTTGGTCATTACAATGTTATTATTACTCGTAGGAATGTCTGGAATTATCCTTTAAACTAAGTCAGCAATAAGATGACTTCCTTCCTTTTTCATCATTTTGACTGCATTTTCACACAAACAGTTCTTACCATTCTTAGCTTTGGAGATACGAGCTTCACGTTCTCGAAGCAGGCGTAGATACACATGAGGACGTAGGGGCCCCAGCACATCAGCAGTACCCTCAAGGGCACATTTGTGTTAAACTAGAAAACAAAGTTCATTGGGTCACTGTAGATATTCAGATGTAGTGCAGCAGATTTAGAACTGATGGTTTAGTATTAACAATATTCAGCTGGAAATGGAAAAAACAACACTTTAAATTTGTCAGTTAGTCTGATAGGCTTCACTGAAGTCAGTTATGCTACATATTCTTTTTAAAGAACGTCCCCCTTCAGATGGTATCTCCCTAAAGGTCCAGTTTGTAACATTTAGGAGGCTCTTTTGGCAAAAATGGACTATAACATTCATAGGTATGTTTTCATTAGTGTATACAATATAATTTACCCTGTGTTGATGGACCTTCTTGAAGTGTTTATTGATGGCATCGTAACATGACACCATGGTGAAAGCTGGGAACATCAGGTAGAGCACCGTTATAGTGAGCATGTAGGTCACATAGTCCCTGTTGAAAAGAGATAAATAGCATTTATTATACCTAGTATAGAGGATTGTAAGTAATCCTTATTGTACACTACCTATAAACATTGTAATATGAATTGATAGTGATGAAAACAGCAGCAAAATTGGCCATTTTGTCCATGCCAACATTCCAGTTTTAGTATTAATCCTATATTTATACAACCGTACCTGTCCCCTCTGGTGTAGTCCAGCGTGCAGCAAGTCTTCATAGGCTCAAAGTCATAGACGCCCCATCCCATGAGAGGAACAGCAGCCCAGAAGATGGAAAGAATCCAGATGATTGCACTCATCGTCAGAGTAGTGCTCCAGAAGAGCTTCTGTCCTTCAGAATAAAACATTTTAATAAAAAGGTTTTTTATGTATTTGTTTTGATAAAGCTGAGTTTGTCTGCTTTTCACCAGAAAAAAAAGCAGGTGTGAATGAATCTGACATTCAGTTTGTCTCCTGATTAAATTAAGTTTGACATTTACTCTGTTTTTGGTCTTCACCAACTCCTGAAGGAAATGTATGGCTCTTAAGCTGATAAATGCCCCACTATGTTCACCAGAGAGTCGCTATGAGCAGTGCTGGTTATGTCGTACTCACTGGTGCAGTATTGGTGATATCTGTCCCAAGCGAGGGCAGCCATGAAACTGATGGACGCCAGGACTGCAATCATCCCCTGAAAAGCGTGAAAGGAACATCCATCTTGACCAAATGGCCAAACTCTAGAAAAGACAATGAAACTTCAATCATACTCCAGCATGCTAAAGAATGTTGCGTGTACCCAATATTGTGTTATAATACGACAACATCAGGCTGTAAAAATAGTTAAAGGAGTTAAGTTAAGTTAAGTTAAAGGATCACAACCTTTCTGCCATGTGACCCTTTGAAGACAAGCAATGCCTACTCATTACAGGTTGCATATAGTAGTTAAACCAAAGACTGATTCGTCCTTCTCAGATTGTTGTCCTGGAGAGGTAAAACTCTCCAGTGTGTCACCAGAAAAAGTCAGAAAAATAAACTTCTTAATAGTCTTACAACCTCTCTGACTTATCTTTCGAATAACAAGTCTGGATTACCAAAGCAAACTACTACACTGTGGGCCTAAGACTCGTTGAAATGTTGTTTGTGGAAATTACTTTCAATTTTTTCAATTTCTTTTATTAATACAGTGTGCACCAGTAAAATATTATTATATTATAAACTGAAATAAAAGGATTTTTTAGGCAATACCTGCAATATCAGCAGATCTTGAGGACAAATTTTCTTAGTTAAAATCTAGTTTGAAGTCATTTATCATTTCAGTTTATTGTTACTACCTAAAATACTAACTAAATGTGTGCTTAATACATACACAATACATGCACAATGCACAGAGTGCAAGAGAAATAACGGGCGTCAATAGGGGCCCCCCTAGCGGGTTAATCCAGCCCTGCTGGTGTTCAGGTTGGGAACCACTGAATAAAATATATAAGAGGTTTAAACAGGACATTAAACATTTATATGAGTGTTGCTACAATTAGAATTAAGATCTGCTTAGGTAACTTAAAACAGGTTTGCTTGAAATATGTGAACTTTACACACAGAATAAAGTGGATTGTGGACTGGATTATGAAACCCAAAGTCTTATTTAGCTTGTAACTATTGGCTAATATTAAATACTGTTTAATACTACTGAGCCTTTTTTGTTTTGGGTTGCAGAAATAAATCTATTACCCCCACCATGATATACAAAGTGTTTATAGAAGAAGGATTTGAAGAACTCAGGGTGTCTGTTTTATACCTGAGATAGCTTGCATATGCAGCTGTGAGTCCGTTAATATTCAAACTGATGTCAGCCACAGCGAGATTGAACACAAAGAAGTTACTGGGATTCCGCATCTCCTTCACTGTGAGGAAAGACACGATGCTGATGGCATTGAGAAAAAATCCAAGCATACCTGAAAGGGGGAAAAAGAAGTGAAATGTCCCTTTAAATTCTCGCATCACACTGTTATCAGTCTGAATTTATTAGCACAGTCATATCCCTGATTGTACCCCAAACAGCAAAGTTTGGAAACATAAAGGCCCTTAAACAGCCTTTAACATTTATTTTTTTAATCATAGCTTTACTATTAGAGTCAGCAAATAGAGATTAGAGTCGGCCGGAGGTTTTCAAAGTGGGATGTGCCTCTGGGGGGGGCTCCAAAAGCTTTAGGGGAGGCTTAGTGAAGGGAAGTAAAATAAAATATTACATTAGTTATCAAAATAAGGTCAAATATAATAGCCTAAATGTGAGTGATTTGGTTAAATACATAGTTTAGAGGTACAGTTGTTTGGGGGAATTTGACTGTTTTATCCCACTTTCCCAGAGTCAGAAACTAATAAATGCCTTAGGACAGACCTTTTTTTATGTATTTTATGTAATCTGAAGTTATGTCAAACAGAAATATTAGGCTATCTTGGCTCAGCTGTTGAGAGTGGGATCAAATAACATAATCATGATCCCACAGGCATCCAGGAATTGAGCAAAAGCAAGTAAAAGGGGGTGAGGGGGCGCCCTTTTCCCAAGCTTTGTCTGAGGGGAGGTCCACACAGACTCACAAACCTGGCTAAACATCACTAAGAGACATAAAAATGGATTGGGATTGGTTTGGTATTTTTAATAACATAAGATCCTTTTATTATCTAAGCACACTGTTTCAGAGTGAACTGTCCCTTTAATCCTCGAAGCAACATGTCTTCCTGTGCGCTCGGTCCACTTACCCGCAACGAGAAGCGCTACGCCGAATGTAGTCATATCAAACTCCGTGAATCCCTCCGGTAATGTATACGCTGCCATGTTGAAATGCACAAATTCAACTTTTGCACACAAAAAAATAAAAATAGAGTCCTTTTCCTGTGGTGTAGCGCTCCACCGTCCTCAACAAAATGACGCCTTATAAAGGCTCTTTCACGTGAAAAAGCAAAAAAAAGGGACTAATCTCAATAAACCCCTTCTGCAATCCCTCGAAGAATGTCCTAACGAGCAAACTCCCTGCAAGTTTGGGATCGACCAAAGTTTGCGCAACTCTCTGATCTAAAGTTTGTCGATTGGGGGGCTTAGCTGAGGGGGATTTTTGTGAATAAATGTAGAGAGAAAGCTGAGATGAACTTTTCCCTCAACTCATGCAGCTGGCGGTGTTTGTATTGTTGTGAGTGATAAGAGAGAACACAGTGGAAACATGGGAAATGTTGTTTTTCCGCCAATGTTATTGGATCGAGTTGCACCACAAAGCAAATTGTTAACCTCTTAAATAGGCTGCACTCGGAGTAAAAACAATCACTATATTCACTTGTTATTTGGCTTTATTTTTAATTTTATTAAAAATAGTTTCACTTTCCTATAGCGCTTGTTTGCTAATTGGCAAATGTGAAACTAATGAGTAATCTATTGCATGTCTGTCCCTGGAAGACGGATCCCTCCTCTGTTGCTCCTCCTCAGGTCTCCTCCATTTTTCTCCCTTCAAAAGGTTTTTTAGGGAAGTTCTCAGGATACTTAATACTAACAATTTGTATTTTGCATATATAGTATATATATTAAGTTAATTTCTCTAGCCAAGGCACTGGTTTAGATCTGGAGTTGATCCCCCGGCACTGTACAGTGGCTGCCCACTGCAAGTACTTTGTATGGGTGTAATGCAGAGGACAAATTTCACTATGTGTTGTAATTTGTATGATTGTGTATGTAAAAGGCAGAGTATCTAAAGGTTGGGGGACCTTTAGAATATTTTTCTCAGCATAGTGACTCTGTGTACAAGAAGCCCCAGAAGCACAAGTTTTATGGTCAGGAAAGACATTTTAATAACCGTAACAGAGTCTGTACAGGGTCCCTTTTCGAAATTACATCCCACAGCACTCTCTCACTTTATAAACAAGCAGTGCATTCTGGCACCTGCACATTTGTACTCTGCTTCTTCCTCTACAGCTGATACTTTCACTTACAAGCCAGGTCAAAGACAAATCTCCGTTGCCTTGTGATGGACAATAAAGTTTTTGGATGAAACAAGCTCAGCTGCAGTGACAATAGTGCTTAGAAAACTGTAACATCTTAAGTTAACTGTTAGCTGCACATCCAAGGGCTAAATTGACAAATTACTGCACAAGCCCTTGTTTTATTTGGACCACACACTCCTCAGATAACTGAGTGGTTGTGTTTTACTGGCCGCATTCAGTGTAAAAGGTCAAGTTAGTCTGTGAAAGCATAAGGACCATATTCATTTGCTCATTTATCTGACTTGAACTGTTGACCAAAATAACGCTATAAAAACGAGGAAAGCGTAAAAGTGGCCTTTGGCTGTCGTGGCGGCCTGAACCTTTTAAAATGTAACATTTGGGCAGAGTCTGATTGCACCACTAATCTGTTCACAGATTACCACAAACTCATTAACTATGAAGTAATGACGTGTCCCAATGGACTTATAATAGCCTTTTTCTCAAACTGCCCATATTGTCCCATCCAGTAACTGACTTCCTCATATATTCAGCTAAAAAAAGAGCTGCAGTGTTGATGTTTGTCACTGCATCTGCTGCTGACTCAGTTTCAAATGTGGCAGCAGAAATGTTGATATCTGACAGATAAATCGAGAATTTGGAGCATCTGATTTGTGTACCAGAATGTCTGTCTGTTGCCTTAAATCCCAACAGGAGGCCTATAGAAGTGTTAGTCACAAGCTGATGGTGCAGTGTGAGGTTATGCAGGAACATAAAGCAGCAGAGTGCCAATTTCACAATGCAAACATAGTAATCTGTTAATCTACTGCAGCAGTGTGATGAAGTAAGAACCAGTCTAGAACATGAATGTAGTGGATTGATCAGCTGGTATGAATTGTAATCTTTGTTTTAGGAGGTTTGTGTTGTGGTTTTATGAACTATGCACCATCTGGTTTATTGGTAGGCCAATGTCAGTTTTTGATCAAAAGTTAAACAATGCAATGAGCACTGAAATGACTTAATAAACTTGAAAATAGTTATTAATTTGAAGAATGTTTAGCCCAACAACATTCAAATGTCTGCTCTCTGTCAGTAACTTACTGGAATAAATCAGGATGGATGCAGAATCTCAAGCTCAAAATGGAATCAAACCCATAACTGTCACTGACCTGAATACCCTGTTTGTAATTTCATGCTTTCCTCCTTGCTGTGATTGCACATTAATGTATTGGCCAACAGTTAATTACACCATCATAATCTGCTGGCTTTGCAATGAAACAAAGGTTTCAGTGTTGGAATTTGCATTTGTACCAACAAACTCTGAAGATCAAGAGCAAAGATGAAGAACTGAAACAAATGTTTTTTGTTTATTCCTGTAAAATTATTATAAAGTATTTAGACTGTTTCTATTTCTACTGCAGGAATGAAAAAAAAAAAAAAAACAGCCTTGTTCAGCACCTTTGACATATTTCAGAGTATTGCATGAATGAACATTTTAAAGTTTTCTTAGACTTTTTCCAGATATGGTGATGGTAGTGAACTTTTACTATAAAGACATTTCTGAATGTAGGAGCTTGAGGCAGTTTATCTGCTCCTTCCCCTCCCACTGAGGTCAGATAGGAGAGGGAGTATAGGGACAGGAGCAGGGTTGGAGGATTGTCCCAGGTCTTGCCAATTTCTTTCAGGACAAACCTTCTGAAAGAAATAGAACAAAGATGTTTTAATAAGAGACAGATAGATGGGTGGATTAAAGGATTTGAAATCCCAGACAGCTGTGTCTTTAAACCTCTGCACCTGTGAAAAACCTGCAGAAACTGTGACAACACGTCTGTCATCCACAAAGTGTGTCAGTCACACACAAGAAATATCAGCATAATCCGCTACTACTGAATATAAAACTATAACACAGTTTTGAAAATACCTCTTCTTTAAATTTGAATTTACGAAGGAAATGTGTAGAAATATCCTAATAATATAAAATAGGTAAAAAATATAGTCCTTATGCAGAATGTCACATTTATCTAAGAATAATATATTTAACTGGATTATAATTAGAGATGCATTACTGTTTGTATCACTTTGATGTTACAACTGGTTGAAGTGGAGTTAATTTGAAGTACTTTATATATTGTTGCAATAGAAGTATACTGTACCTAAGAGCAGTACTTGAGTGAATGTACTTAGTTACACCACTTGTGTTTATATAATCAAGAAATGTTTAATCTCAAGTGCATGAAACGTTTTTAAAAAGAGTTATAAAGTGTTGTCAAGGCTCATTTATCTGGTTTGGAAGTTTGGATCTAATAAAAGAAGGTGAGTAACGTAATACAGTAAACACACTGCCATCTAGTGGTGATTTGTTTATACATTCTACCCATCATTCAAACTGGTTTGTCAATGTGTTAAACAGTTCATAGACTAAGTAAAAAAAAACTACCATAATTTAAGGACAGGCAAATGTAAGAAGGGATTAAATAATAATAAAATAAAATGTCAAGTGACTTTTGGGTAGGAGGCCTATCACTCTTAGTGTTTACTCCAATAAAGATAGATAGATAGATAGATAGATAGATAGATAGATAGATAGATAGATAGATAGATAGATAGATACTTTAATTATCCCGAGGGAAATTCAAGTTTTTATTTTTTTATTTCTTTATTTGACAGTATATGATATTACTTGACAGGACAATATTGACAAAATAAAATAAAATAAAGTATAAAAAACAAAACTGCCAAGGATTTCCTCATTTTAAAATCTTTCTACATGAAATTTTGTTTTTAACATTTCAAATATTCATAATTATTGTAGGTAGATTTCTTTTCTGGGAATGAAAGTGAAAACTATGCAGCCTATCAGCGTCCAGGAAGCAGTAGCCTAATCGTGTGAATGAAAATAACCCAAGTCCTTCACTAATCCCTGCCTATCCTTTTTATCTCGGGTTTCCGACCAGTCGGAGCAGTATGGAGCTGTGAGCCTGCACACCACGATGCATCCGATGCCCCGTTAGACTGAGCTGTAGCGCCTGTTTGTTTTTATTGTAGTTTAGCTGCATAGCGGGTTATTAGCGTGCAGGAGAAAAAATGAGTCGACATTTTACTGCAGCTTTTTGTTTGGCTTTAGTTTTTCTTCCTCTGCTGAGCAATTCATGTCCTGCACAATGCAGCTGCTTCTTCCATAAATTGAGCGATGGATCAAAAGCAAGGTAAATATTCACATTTTATTGTTTGAATTTTATTCTCACTGCATGTGTTTTATTTTTATTTTTCTTGCGTGCAAAATTTATTTTCAGCTTTCTTCTGTTCAGTCACTCAGTATAGTGGGGGATTAACTTGGAGTTGCCCTTTAATCTCCTTTTCTTGTTACTGAACAATAGGTTACTACGTTTTTCTCAAATACATTCTGAACTATACTGTTTTATATGTAAAATGGAGGCAGAAAAATATTTAGTTTGTTATTAAATCCACTGTACAAACCCCCTACAATTTGAAAGTAGTTTTAATAATGTTCCTCTTAAATGTCACATAAATATTTAAATATTTGTTGTTATTTTCTCTTGCAGGAGTGTACTTTGCAATGACCCAGAGATCACTCTGATTCCTCCAAATTTCCCCACTGACACATCAAAGCTGCGCATTGAAAAGACAGCTATCACACGGATTTCAACCGACAACTTCCACTACCTTAACAATCTGGAGTTTCTGTGGATGTCTTTCAATTCACTGAATTCGCTGAATGTCGACAGTTTCCGGGGTCTTTACAACCTGGATGAGCTGAGGCTGGACGGAAACGCCCTCACCTCCTTCCCCTGGGAGTCTCTGACTGATATGCCAAACCTGAGGCTCCTCGACTTACACAACAACAAGATCTCCACCATCCCTGCCGATGCCACCATGTACATAAAGAATATCACCTATCTGGACTTATCCAGCAACAGTCTGACAACCGTTCCTGCTGACGCTCTCACAATGTGGCTGAGTGTGAAGCCATCCCAGGATACTGATTCCTCCAAACTAATTCTCGGTGAGGATCAAGCTGTGACATATTAGGATACCAGAATGTATTCTTTTTAATCTGCCTTGCATGACGACCACTTCTTTGACACAAGAAGCATTTAAAGCTGAGTTGGGATTAGTCTAATTATAGTTATTGTGTGTCAAAGTTGTCAGACTAATTCTGTTTATTTTAACTCACAGCCACACTTAAAATAACGATGGCGGTGTTAGGTTAAGGAAAATTAACTGGATGTTAGTAACATATGAGGGTGCAGAGTAGGAATTTATTTATTTTTTTCTCTTAACTGTCATGCTTGGTTTCCTCTGCAGGTCTCCATGACAACCCGTGGCTGTGTGACTGCCGGCTGCACGATCTGGTCGAGTTTCAGAAGTCCCCATCATCCTCTGTGGCTCTCATCGACACCAGGCTGAGGTGCGCTGATCCGGAGAGCTTGTCAGGGGTTCTTTTCACTGAAGCGGAGCTGCAGAGGTGCCAGGGCCCTCGGGTGCACACAGCTGTGGCTCGTGTACGAAGCTCACTGGGCAACAACGTCCTGCTACGCTGTGGAACAGTGGGAGTCCCCATCCCAGAGTTGTCCTGGAGCCGCGTTGATGGCAAGAAAATGAACGGCACCGGTAAGTTCGGCTGAACTAATTTCAGATGTGCTTAGATTAGAACCATATCTATTTCTGTCCAAGTCTCAATGAGATTAAAGTTATTCTTTCCGTGTCAATCTGCTTAACTTTGGGGATGCCTGTTTTTTTTATTTTTTCAGTTCAGGAAGAGATTTCAAAGGAGGGCATCATTTGGTCGATTCTGAGCGTGCCTGCAGTCTCCTACCGAGATTCTGGGAAATACGTGTGCAAAGCAACCAACTTCGTGGGCACTGCAGATGCCATCATCTCTTTGGTGATCACAGATTCCTTTCGGTCAGAGGAAGCAGGCGGTGGTGTTTCTAAGAGAACCAGAGGAAAGAAAACTGGTGGCATTGGAAGAGCGGCATACCAGGAGAAACTTATTGCCAGATATGTTCCTCCACCAACCACCACAGCAGCCCAGCCCATCATTGAACCTGTCAATGGCAAAGGTGTGACTGGAAAGTATGAGATTGAGAGCTACAGCATCTCTGACGATGCTTCTCAGGGACAAGACAAGGCGACAGACCCTCAGAGGACGGAGGAGTTGCAGCGGGATGCTCTGAGCAACTTAGCCGCCAATGCCTCATCCTTACAGCAAGCTCCAGAGAAAAGGGTGGTGCGTTCGGTGAAAGTGATCGGTGACACTGATCATACTGTCTCTCTGAACTGGCGAGCCCCTACAGCCAAAAACACCACAGAATTCAGTGTCCTGTATGCTGTATTTGGTGAAAGAGACATGCGTCGGATCAATGTAGGTGCTGGAAGGAACCGGATCACCATTGATGGCCTTGTGCCAAAGACAAAGTACATTGCTTGTGTTTGCGTCAAAGGCCTGATCCCGAAAAAGGAGCAGTGTGTAATCTTCTCAACAGATGAAGCAGCCAGTGCTAGTGGCACTCAGAAGCTCATTAATGTGGTGGTAATAACAGTGGCTTGCGTGATTGCTGTCCCCCTGACACTGATAGTGTGCTGCGGGGCGCTAAAGAAGCGCTGCCAAAAGCTGCTGGGACGGCAGTCCAAGGAAATGCAGGACTCGTATGTCACGTTTGAAACCCTTGGTCCTGCGGCCAAAGCTAAAGGGATGGAGGGCGAGTATCTGACCAGGCTGAATCCTGACGAATCCAACAGGCTCCTGTCAGCGAGGTCTAGTGTGGACTCAGAGGCCACAGCCAGGACTGAGGGGCCACCTAACGAGTACTTCTGCTAAAACCAATTATGCCCCAACCTGCAGAGGATGCACTTTGTTTCTATGTGAATACTGTAGATAAACCACTGTGCTCAGAGACTCAAATGATCCTCTTTTGGCGGTCTTCAGAGAACACTGGTAGCTCTGGCAGCATTTGATGTATGACATTGTTTTACAGCCTTGTGGGAATAAAAACCACCATTCATTTGGTGGACAGCAAAAAAGGGAAAATATACACAGTGACATGGTTTAAATATTTACATTTGGTGTAAATGTGTAAAAATAACTTTTTTAAATTTAATTCATCATGCACTTTTAAAGGTTATGTTTTGCAGAGGAAAATGTCTTCAAATGTTGCCCTAAACTGTATAAAACCCTGACAATTTTATTTCCCCCAAGATTTAACCTCTGCATTGTGTTAAAATCTTTATTTAAAGTATTTAGATCAACCAGCAGTTGTTAGTGTATTTTGCATGTCAGTATGATGTTAATGTGCCAGGTTTACTGTTGGGTCGAAAACCTAAAATACAGTACATTTTATAATGTGTAAATATTTGTGACCTGAAATATATGTGTATGTATGAATGTACTGTATTAAAATTAAATATTTTTTATGTTCTCTTTTTCTTACATCATCAATATTCATCTTGACTGAAGCAGAAATTATTATGTTTGCAATGCTAGCGGAGGTACAGAGATTCATGTGTTCCTCAGTGTGAATTGTGATAACTCCTTCATCTAGCCTCATCATCAGCTGAAAATTTTGATTTTTCCAGACTTTTGGGTTATGTCTAAACACCTGCACAACTACTTACATTCCATCAGCCTGCACTAAGATGGTAAACATTAAAACTGCTTAACATGCATATTAGCATCACTGTTGTGAACATGTTAACATTAGCCTTTAGCTCAAAGCTAAAGTCTTTTTAACACATAAAATCGAAGAATCAGTAACACTTAAATCAACTTAAGGGCAGTTTGCTTTTTTCTGCAGGAAAAGTAGACGTAGTATCTAGTATCTACGTAGCCTAGATGAAACTAAAGTAATTAAAAAGTATTTAGTAAACAATTGTCAATTTGACAAATGTCTCTGGTTTGCTAAACAAGCAAACTACAAAGGAATTAAAAGTATCTATATCCTTAATTTAAAACTTGTACGATGACAAGGAGATTGCCTTCATTAGCAGACATCAGATTTATCTCTTTGCTTGTTAAAGGATGTACGCCTATAAAATGCTTGGGCATTCAAGGACAAGATTGAATCTTCATTGCTGTAGATGTTGTCTGTTTTCACACTTGCTTTATTGTTGATTCGGTCTTTAGCAACCTGTGAGACAACCAGTGTTCAGATTATTGAGGTCAGATTACAGTCCTCTCCAGACATCTGTCTCTCTGTCTCTCTGCAGCCCTCCCTCTCTGTGCTGCTAAGCCCGACGGGCTCCGGCCCACTTACAGATGGGCCTCCTGTCATGTCAATGTCTGTGCTTTGGTGGGGGACAAATAAATTAAATTAGACTAATGCAGCAGAGCAGTTTGGGGTCATACCTGAAAGTAGAACTACAATACAATCACTGAACTCACTTAATCCTGTTCGAGAAACATTTGTGGTGAGTGTTTTCATGCTTTTGAGGGGATCGGACAATGTTTTCTAGACAAAGTGGACCATTGCTATAAATACACCTCACCTATGAGTGTCTCACATGTCACTTGGCATCTTAAGTGTTACGTCAAACAAGATTAATGTAATAGGCTTTCTTCCACACAGCCCATGGACATGTCCTGCCCTCACAGGCCTATTTCACAAACTCCTCCAAGAATATGGGTGCCTTTTTTGCCGCATTACGTATTACTTTGGTATTTTATCTCATCACCCCTGGATCATCAACTTGTCTGATCGGTTGCTCCTGCACAGATGAGAACATGGGAAGGTAAGTGACCACTGAAACTATGCAAACTCTTAAAAGTAGGTTATGTGTTAGCCATAACCCTGTTTTAAACAACACGTGTTGTTTTAAATGCAGCTTGCAAACCAAACGGCTCTAAAACCTACAGACAGACACAATCCATACATTTGTCCAAATGGTGCATGTACATGAGTAGCTGTGAAGATAAAATATACACTTGCCATTAGTTTCTCTTGTCTAAATATATCTTGTCTTACCATTCTAGGTCTTTACTTTGTATGGAAACCCCCATGGGACAAATCCCAAAGGACATCCCACATGATTTCACTAAAATCCGAATTGAAAACTGCCGACTGACTGAGTTACCACGAGGATCTTTCTCTAACGTTAGTGCCTTGGAGTTCCTCTGGCTGAATTTCAATGAGATCACCCTCATGAACATCAAAAGCCTGGAGGGGCTGGCCAACCTGACTGAGCTCAGGCTACAAGGGAACAAGCTTACTTCAGTACCATGGACGGCGTTTCAGAACACACCAAAACTGAAGATTTTGGACCTGAAGCACAATCGACTGGACGTCCTGCCTGAACACGCTCTGAGACACTTACCTGCACTGACCTACTTAGATTTATCTTTCAATCAGCTTAGTGTCATATCAAAAGATGTCTTCATAAATTGGCCTCTTTACCAAACAGCAGAGAAAGTGTGGGGGAAAGAAGGGTTGGTCTCCAATGTGGTTCTGGCGCTGCATGACAACCCCTGGTTGTGTGATTGCCGCCTCAAAGGCTTCGTTGAATTCATCCGGGCAGTCAGCCCTCCCATCATTCTGATGAACTCTTATTTGATGTGTGTGGGCCCCGCCTCCAAAGCTGACAAGTTTTTCCACGAGATCCAGTTAAAAACATGCATGAAGCCAGTGGCCTCTGCCCCAGCTACTAACATCACTTTACCTCTCGGAGCAAATGCAACACTCACATGCTTAGTCAAGGCTAGGCCAGGCCCGACCATTCAGTGGATGTACAGTCTGAAGATTATAAGAGGATTTGCTGGTAAGATTTTTTTTATTACTACCATCCATTAAACTCTTGTGAACCTGCTCTGGGAGCGCTTATTGTGGTATATGTTGAACTTTCAGGCTTCATCTGCTTTATGAAATATACAGGAACAATAACCTTTTTACGTTTACCTTACCATGGCTTTATCAGATGTAAACAAGCTTCCGATTTTAATGCAATATGCTCTGACCCCGTCTTCTCCTTGCAGCTACAGAGACTCAAATAGATGAGGAGACCATCACCTCCCAGCTGGTGATCCCTTCTCTTCACCTGGCAGACCGAGGAATCTACACCTGCATGGCCAACAACTTCATTAGCAACTCTTCTGTTAGCATCATGGTTAACATCAGCTCCTCGAACTCCTCTGCTCCTCTCCATCCACCTGTCCCCATGTTGTCATCCAATGAGAGCACCTACATTGACATCCGCATCGCTAAGCAGACAGTTTACGGTATCACCCTGGAATGGTATGCAGCAACAGATAACCCAGCAGAAACCTGGTTCACCATCCACTTTGGCAAATACGATTCACCCAGAAAGGAAATGATCTACATCGGTCCTGGCATCAACAGCTACTCTGTCAGCGACCTGCTTCCTGTGACCAAATACGAGGTGTGTGTGACCCTGAAGAACCATCCTCCGAGGGAAGGCCAGTGCATTGTGTTCGTGACGGGAAGTGACATCAGTGAGCTGGAGCAAAGAGAGAGACTCATTCACATTATCGTCATTGTGTGTGCCATGGTGCTGGCAGTGCCGGCCGGCATGTACGCCTGCACCACCGAGGCCAAGTTCAACTGTGTGGATCGGTGCATAGATCTATGGAAGAAGCGCAGGCTGCACAGAGAGAACCTGCAGGGGTCGGAGAGGCAGGGCACCTTTGACAGTCTGCAGGCGGCCAGCGATGAAGGCCTGTACAGGGACTCGGAGGAAAAGCCGAAAAAGAGGCGAAAGTCAGAGGATAAGAGCAAAGGAGGAAGTGCTGCTTATTTGTACTAGCATCAATGTCAATAAATGTACATACTTGTGTTTTTGTAAATAATGCCAGTTTTGAGTGTAGCCCCAGTTTGGGCTTGTCATGTATTATAATTACATTACAGTCACAGTGCTTAGTGTCCAATCTTTTAAAAAATAAATACCTAAGAAACCTGATGGTCATTAAACAAAATATATCGCTGTTATGAAGGTATATAACCACCTGGATGAAAAAATATTATATCTGCTGCACAATAATAACTCCATTCTTTAAGTAATATCAATACATACGCGATAGTAACATTTTTTAAAATTGGGTTCACTGTACACATTGAGCAAGGACAGATATTTCCATGTCATTTCGGCCTCCAACTTTGTTTCGATTAAGAAAAATAATAGTACAGCAAATAGAATATTCGTTCATCCTGGAAATACCTTCAGAGCAACAATACATTTTGTTAAATGATCCTGGGATATTTTTTTTTTGAAAAGCTTATTGTACTATAGCTCTGTGACTCAAATGTAATAGGAATACATGAGAGGCACAAACCAAGGCTATTTTGAGTATATAGTCATCCTGTAAATATATATCTTAAGCTATCAGCTCCAAGTGGAGATGCCTTTCTTCCTTATTATAAGGAGAGTTTCTTATAATCTGTTTATATACATGTAAAAACACGTTTTTGCTAAAAATGCATTTGATATTTCTTTGGGTCAGTTTTTTTCTTAATGTTTTGCATGTTTTTATTGTTATACAAAAACTACATTATAATCAAGTGAATTGAGTTGGTTTGTGGTTCAGGAGATTTTAATCCACTTTATGTTGGAAAAAATATGTTTTTGCTTTTATTGTTTTTCTTTTTACAGATGCAGCTTTGCTGTCTTGTAATGGAATAAAATGATGTATGATGTGGATTAAAGGGGAGTCAAAGACGAATGCTGAGACATACTCTGATTTTTTAGCACAATCACTCAGAGGATTTGTTACATAAGCAGCGTTTTCCCGTGCATTTATACATACACTCGTAAGCAGATTAAAGTGATTTTCTATCTGAATCCTAGTCAGCAGGACATGATATTTCCATTTAATGACAGTTCTGAGCTCACTGTCAGTTGTTCAAGCGAATAGAGTGTATGTGAACATTTTTCAGTCTAACTGAAAATAATCAGTTTCTTTTTATATAGTGAAAAGCAAATAACACTTAAACACTATGATGAAAATCAGATTTTGTGTTAAATAAATTATGTTTAGTCAGTTCACACTCACAGTGGAGTCGCTACATCCAGTCATATTGTATAGTTTTTGATTTTTTAACAGATAAATGAAAAGGTGTTTATTATCGTTAAATATATAAGATATATAAATAAGTATGATATTTTTTCTCTACGTGAGCAGTGGTGGAAGAAGTACTCAGAGCCTTTACTTAAGTCTTACATTTACAATCATATTGAAGTAAAAGTACATAAGTATTATCTGCAAAATATATTTAATACTGATGCATCAATATGTAAACAGCATTTTCTGCTGCCCAAGATGGAGCTGTTTTTAACTATTTTATACACAGTTAGGGAGTTTACTCCAGGTAGTTTAACTAGGTAGGAACATTGAATAATTAGGAAATAATTTAGGAAATTCAATATTTCCCCTTTCAAATGTAGCGGAGGAGAAGTATAAAGTAACATAAACTA